GGAGGCCTGCAAAGTGCTCCTGGGGGCTGGGGAGGACAAAAACAAGAAAAAAAAGGCTGCTTTTGCCCCCCCCCTCCAGCCTCGAGGAACACTTTACAAACCTCTCAAAGCATATGCATGCCCCCCCCCTTTTTTTTTTTGCAAAATACGAGGCATGCAAAAGGTTTGGGAGGCCTGCAGAATGCAAAAACATTTTTTTTTAATTTACCTCTTCAAAATCTTGGGGTGTCTTATACTACGGTGCGTCTTACAGTTTGAAAAATACAGTATAATTCATATTTGTGTCAGGTGCTGAAGCTGATAAACCAGTATTAGCCTATGTACACGGAGATTTTATTACAGATTGTCCTCGACGTACAGTGACAATTGATCCCAAAATTTCCACTGCTAAGCAAGGACGTTATTAAGTGACTTTTTGCCTCACTTTATGACCTTTTTGCTGCAGTTGTTCAGTGAAACACTGCAGTTATTAGGTTAGTAACAATGATGTCTGTGGAGATTCTCAGTCATCCAGGTCATGGTTGTCCCAAAGGTGCTTTTTCAGGAGGCAACTGGACTTTGCTTTTTTCTTTTAAAGAGGTTTTGCTTCTCATCCAAGAAGCTTTTTCAACTCTGACAGAACTGAAGAAGCTTCTTGGGTGAGAAGCGAAACCTCTTCAAAAGAAAAAAAACAAGGAAAGTCCAATTGCCTCCTGAATTAGTAACATAGATGTTAAGTGAATCTGGCTTCCCCATTGACTTCGCTTGTCGAAAGATGATCATATGACCTGGGACACTGCAACCCTCATAAATATATGCCAGTTACCAAGCATCCCATGGCCCACAGGGGTATTGTAATGGTTGCAAGTGTGAAGAACAATCATAATTCACTTTTTTCAGTGCCATTTTAACTTTGAATGGTCATTGCAAGTCAAGAACTACCTATAGCTCCACACCTCATTAAATCACAAGCTAAATCTCACCCCAGACACAAATGAATAACAGCAAGCTATAAGATGGGGTTTATGTTTATCGTGTTTCCCCGAAAATAAGGTAGTCTTATTTTCTTTTGACCCCCGAAATAAGCACTTGACCTTATTTTCGGGGAGGTCTTATTATTTTTGAGGTGCAGGACGGGGCAAGGGTGGTCACACCTCATGGCTGCTGCTGTGTTGCAATATTTTTGGGGGAGGGCTTATTTTAGCGCATGCACTCAAAAACCTGATTTGGCTTATTATTTGGGGAGGTCTTATTTTCAGGGAAACAGGGTAGAATGTCTTCATTTTCAGAATGTGAGAAAGCAAGCATAAAAATGAAGCAGTTCTAGCTTTTCTATATAAGGGAGTTATTCGAAAATATTGTTCCCATCCGCCTTATCAACTGCTGATTTTATTTTTTTAATTGTAGAATTTGCTGATAGTTTATTTTCAAGTCACTTAACTGAAGGCAGTAGAAAAAGCACTCACTGTTCTTGTTATTTATATTTAATTCCCACTTTTGGAAACAATCTATTTCTTTTATAAACATTGGTTAAATATACCAATCCTAAAACAAGGGGTGAGGCATGAGATGCATTTGCTAATTATTTCTTTTCTGCCTTCATTTCTTTTTTAAATTGTATTGGACAAGGGAGAATATGCCTATACAAGGAAGGATTAACCATGATAAAACATTTTAATTGTATGTGCATGCCATCACTAGGCATGCATTATTTCTGCATGCCCTTTCAAGAACAGCATAATTAACATTTTGCAAAGCAGGAAAATTAGGATTAATGGATCTAAATGCATTATTTGCTTTGCCCTGAAAAAGTTAAATCCATCATGAGGAAGAGATTCGACTTAAGCCATTCATACATAATTAGTAATTGTTCCCTATTGGGACCTTGAGATAGATAGATAGATAGATAGATAGATAGATAGATAGATAGATAGATAGATAGATAGATAGATAGATGATAGATAGATAGATAGATAAATATAGATTAGATAGATAGATAGATAGATAGATAGATAGATAGATAGATAGATANCAGAGAGAGCAGCATTGAGAAAAGCAGGCAAAGCACGGAAGATGCTTCGCTCATTAGCGCCTCATCAGAGCTGAAAAAAAGTTTTGAAAAAGCTACATTCAGAGTATAAGACGCACCCTAATTTTCAGCCTCTTTTTGGGGAGGGGGATTGCTTTGTATATTCCAAAAAATATGGTATATTACTATGATTAAATCTAGAAGGAAGAGTTAGTTCAATAAATGTCTATGGTGATTATTAGTTATCTAGGTCATGGTTGTCCCAAAGGTGCTTTTTCAAGAGGCAACTGAACTTTCTGTTTTTTCTTTGAAGATGTTTTCACTTCTCACCCAGAAGCTTCTTGGATGAGAAGCGAAATGTCTTCAAAGAAAAGCCAGAAAGTCCCGTTGTGTGTTTAAAAGACACCTTTGGGAGTTAGTTTAACACTTGATACTAAAATGAAAATTATATTGGGAAAGTGTGTTGTGTGTTTGTGGGAAACATTTTCCACTTGATTGCCACAGCTTAGAAATTTTCTTCTGCGTCTCCACATATTGTTCTGTTTTGAATGGTGAGGCACTGAAGCATACCCTTATAAAATCTTAATTCTCAGGCAGCTTTATTCAGGAAAGAAGTGCAGCTTCAGATATTGAACACGCTTTAGAGTTCATAAGCACTGCTGCTACTGGATTCCAGAGCAGTATACAATCCAACATCTGCATTTTGCATTAGATGAAGCTTCCAAGTCACCATCCCAGACATTTCCACATACAGCTTGAATAGTTTGACTGAGAAAAGCCTTTCTCAGATGAGTGGTCTCTTCTGCACAATACACATTTCACTCCCTCGCTAGAGAAGGAAAAAGTAATCCAATGCTTCTATTTCATTAGCTGCTATGTGGAAAGAAAGCTCGCAGATGTGTTGGCAATATGGGCATGGAGAAAGACGTTAACAGCAGATAAAGTAAGCCTTTAAATGAAACTGTCATTCCTTATAAAACAAATCTCCTATTTCACAAAACTGGCTACTTATTATACATGGGCCTATCAAGACTATAACTTCAAGGAAGCTATCAGATCTCTCTCACATTTGAGATCAATTCCCTCTATCGAGATAATTATGGAAAGGAGTCACATGCCCCCCAAATTCTGTCTAAACAGAATTACTGTATTCTTCGGAGTGTAAGACTCACCTTTCCCCCCCAAAAAAGAGGGTGAAAACCTGGGTGTGTCTTATACACTGAATACAGCATTTTTGGCCTCCCAAACCCTGCTTGAAAAATGGACATGCATAGGCTTTGGGAGGCCTGCAAAGTGCTCCTGGGGGCTGGGGAGGACAAAAACAAGAAAAAAAAGGCTGCTTTTGCCCCCCCCCTCCAGCCTCGAGGAACACTTTACAAACCTCTCAAAGCATATGCATGNATAGATAGATAGATAGATAGATAGATAGATAGATAGATATAGAGAGAGACAGAGAGACAGAGAGAGACAGATGAGATACTAGAATGTTGCACACATAGCAGAAAATAGAAAACAGTTTATTTTATAAATATGCTAACTGCATGGCAAAGATCCTGATGAGACAATACAGATAAGAAGCTGATTTTGAATAAAAAATATACAGTATATTTGA